ATTATTGATTCATATTCGAATTATGAGGCTTTTTGTCAAGACTACGGATTTTATTGTGAATAATCACAGGATTTTGCAAGAGATTTAATCGAAATTGCGATTTACTAGTCTAGTCTTGAGATAACAATAAAAATGTGAACATGAAATTGTTTATCGGGGAATTTCAATGTTTTGGAAATGTTCTCTCGAAGTAGCTGCCCCTTTGCACTCGTTTCCCTGGAAAGCACTAGAATTTTCTTAAGAATTTCCTCGCGGATGTGATTCGCGTGATGAGAGAAAAAGCTTTCAAATATCACTTCGCCATTAGGATGTTATTGACGATCGATTCTTCGAATTATTTAACGATCCAACGACTTGCCATTTTCTAGTGAGCAAAGAAAATAATCCTTTTTCCTGGTAAATAATTATTATGTACAAGGAATTTAATAAAAAAATTCAGTGAATTCACTAGAACGTTCCCAGATATTCCCAGTGCTTTAAAAAATAATCTACAAGAGATAAGGATTCAAAACTAAAAGAGAAATATACCAAAAGAAAAATAGAATTGAGTCAACAAAATTCTTTACTCAATATCTTAATAAAATAAAAAAAAAAATCCAATAAAAATCCAATAAAAATCCAATAAAAATCCAATAAAGTCGTCCATCGAATTCACTCGGTCTTTCAATTAAATTCCGGTTGAAAAAAAAGAGGATTAATTTCTGGAGCGCGCCAAAAATATTTCACCGAGTATTACAAAAATAACATAATATGTATATTTATAAAAGTCTCATAAAAAATAATACAGCGTTCTCCGTCTCTTCCTTTCCACGTGGGAAATCATAAAAGACGATCTGAAGAGAATAAATGTCAAAGGCAGTGAGAACGATCGCTAGATACTTTAATTATAAATTCTTCCAGATCTGTCTAAAGGGAAAATAAAAATGTTTACATCAAGAGAAACGTAAACTAGACTAGAGGAAAATATTGTGGGATGATAAATTTTTTCTGGGGGGCGTAAACATACGGTAGGTTGATCCGTATCATTCTTCCAATATTTTGATATTCAATCCTCAAAAGATGACCGAATTGCCTCCGGGGAATAATACCTGCGGCCATTCGATAGTTTAAAAAATAATAATAATCCTCTTGTGATTGATAATGCGTTGAATAAATCCCAGGGCTTTTGAATCGTCCGCCATTTTTGCTATCGTCCTGAACAATACCGAGGAGAAGAGGATGCAAAAGGAGATGAAACCTCGGAGGAGATCCTCCGATGAATTTTCAAACAGCAAAACCCATTGAATCCACTTGTATATAGTTATGAATGGAAATCTTATCATTCGAGTACCAGTCAATATGTTTTCCCTTCTCATTTTTATTTTCTTCAAGTCAGTTTTTCATCAATCGTGAAATTCTCGTTCGAGATGATGAAGAGAAATGTGCGTAATGGGAAATAATAAAATTACTGCTATCCTCGAATTATCGGTGAAGAAAAGAGAGATGAAAAAGAAATCAATCTTTGCAATCTGCAATCTTTGGGTTTATCTATTTATTTATTTATATTTAATTCGCTATAAAACATGAAATTGAAATTAAAATTTCATGGACTGATCAGTAATTTGGGAATAGCTAGAGAAAAATTGTCGTGTTGACATTATAATTTCTCTCGTAATTCAGTAATCAGTCAAATGTAAAAAAAAATTCTGAGATTGTGCATTTTTATTTTCATTGCCCGGGTAAAAAAAAAATTGTAATCGGAATATTTTTTTCCAAATTTTCAAAAAATTTCTGGAAAACTTTTCAGAAATTTTTTTTTTAAACAAAAAAAATCGGAAATAAAACAATTTTATTTTTGGGAAATGTTTTGAAAATTTGGAAAAACATTCCGAAAAAATATACAATTTTTTTTTACCCGGGTGCTTCACTAGAATTTTTCTGACGCCTTCTGATTGTCATTCCTCTTCAATCATCGCGGGATGCATTAATTAGCAATAATTCGAAATAGTTTGCGAATTATTTTTAATATCTCCATGAAATTGTAAAATGTAAGGCATTACTTGATAAGCTGCGGATGTTTTTGTGTAAAAAAAAAACGAATTGACAGCAGGAGGAATTGAATAAATATTGAATGTCACGCATACTCTGGTGTAGGATCAATCTAGCCCTGAGGTGAGTACTGATGGTATTTACTTGAAAACTTTATTCTCAAAACTAAAATGGCTGTTCGATGGATTGAAGCAGTTGGTCAGAACTTCGAAGACATCAGGAGTTCACTACGTGTTTCAAAGTGAACTAGACGTTTTAGAAATATTGATAAAAAAATTGGCTGTCTCCCCTGATTAGTTTTCCGAGTTGATGCCACCGACAACTCTAATCATCACAGATCATATCGTTGACAGGTGCTCGAGGTATCGAACAGTGAAAAATTCAATAATCGACGAGAGCTACCGAGATATCCTGCATTTTTTATCTTCAATTTTTTTTTAATTAGAAGAGCGACGCTCACCTGAGATTGAAAAAATCATTTCAAAATTTCTCGAATTATTCAACTCTCTATTCTCCTGGGTGTAAATAATTAATAACAAAAGAGAATTAATTAAGAGAAAAGAAAACGAAATTCTCGATAATTATTCCCAGTTTTTAATTATTAAAAACATTAATCACTAGATTGAAGTAAAAATGGATTTTTGCTGATGTTGATTTATTTGAAAAATTTATTGATATTAAAAAAATATTATATAAAAATAACTTTTGTGATACGGACGTCTATTTATTTTTTATGTCTGAA